GTTGGCCAAATTGGGGTATATGAATGTAATGAAATATTACTGCACCATAAGATACAGCAAAATATATTATTTCCGAAACAATTTATACAAGGAACAGCAACATTATGAAGAAAAATTTTGAAAGACCTAAAAATTTTGAAAGCTCTAATCAATGCAACCATGTTTCCAGAGGACCAGGGTTCTTCATTGCTTGATAGGTGAGGGACACAGTGCAGAAAACAATATACACTTTTGGATAGCTATTGAGTGGATTTATTTTTCTTGTTCATTTGCTTGTTCATTGCCAAAATTCCACTCAGGTTCTAATTGAGGGAAGAAGAGTTTATCAATAGGGATGCTAAAAAACAGAGGGCCATTGAAATATTTTTTCTTAATATACGGAAGAGAACAGAAGGAAGTTTAGAAGGGAGCACCGATAAGCAGGCTAGTTGGGGGGTTTTTTTGTTGTTGTTATTGTTTTTTTTGTTTGTTTTTTTAAAGCAAACAGTATGAAATGGAGAAAAAAAGAAAAAAATTCACAAGGTGTCATCAAGCACTTACAACACTACCAATTGGTAATCCATCAGCATCTGCAGATCTATCATCCTCAGAGCCATCAACCCAGGAAGCAATCTTAGAAAGATGTGACCTAGCAAATGCTTCCATGGGGGCTGCAGCCCCCACTTCTTCAGCAGCCACAGCCATGAAACGGAAAGTCCTCTCAACCAAAGTCCTTGTCACTATCAAATGGTTCGATATCAGAAATGGATATGATTATATCAGCAGAAATGGTGTTAAAGATAACATTATCAGGGCAGCTGGTGGCAAAGTGGATGGAGCTTTGGCCTTGGAGTCAGGAGTACTTGAGTTCAGATCTAACCTCAGACACTTCACACTTAACTAGCTGTGTGACCCTAGGCAAGTCACTTAACCCTGACTGCCTCACCAAAAAGCAAAAAAAAAAAAAAGATAACGCTATCATTTAGCTTGCCAATGCACCCAATGATAATGGGATCTTTCTATCTGACTCACAGCTTCCTCCTTTTATTAGAGCATGAAGTTCCATGTTCTCAAGCAGGAACTGTCTTTGCTTTTTTTCTATTTGTATATCTTGTGCTTAGCACAATATTTGCACATAGTAAATACTTAATGGTTTTTTATTCATTCATTTTCCAAAGGATCCTACACATATTATAAAGGCCATACAATATCAGGATAGTCAAAAGGTGGTTACTCCTACCAAATAGCCCTCAGTGCTGGTTAATTCCTCTGAAAGGGTACCAATTGGAATGTGCAGCAATAGTCTAAAAACGTGTATTTTTTTAAAAACCACTTCAATGTACTTTGTACACAATGGTATAACAATTAGACCAAAACAATTGGCCTGATTTTATTAAAAAATCACATTGAAAAACCAGGCTGTCCAATAAAAGCCTAGAGAAGGGGGATGGAGGAAAATATCAAAAATATCCTTACAGGAAAATGACAAATGCTGGAAAGGATGTGGAAAAATAGGAACACTAATACGCACTGCAATGGATTTGTGAACTGTTCTAATCATTCTGGGGAATAATTTGGAACTATGCCCAAAAAGTGATAAAACTGTGCATATCCTTTGACCCAGAAATACCACTACTAGGTCTGTATCCCAAAGAGATCCCCCAAAAAGGGGCAAGGACCTATTTGTACAAAAGTATTTATAGCAGTTCTTTTTGTGATAGCAAACAATTGGAAACTAAAGGGATGCCCATCAATTGGGGAATGGTTGAACAAGTTGTGGTATGTGATTGCGATGGAATACTATTGTAATATAAGAAATGGCAAACAGTATGTTTTCAGAAAAACCTGAGAAGACATATGAACTGATGCAAAATGAAGTGAGCAGAACCAGGAGAATACTGTATACAATAACAGCAATTATGTAAGGATGATCAACTTTGACAGACTCAGCTACTCTGTTTAAGATAATAATGAAAAATGCTATCTACCTCCAGAGAGAGAACTAATGAACTCTGAATTCAGATTGAAGCATACTTTTTTCACTTTATTTTGCTTGCTTTTTTTTCTTTTTCCCCCAACATGGCTAATATGGAAATATGTTTTGTATGACTTCACATGTATATTTGTTATATAGCTTGTCTTCTCAAAGGGTGGGGAAGGGGCAGGAGGGAAGGAGAAAAATTGGAATTCAAAATTTTAAAAAATGAATATTAAAAAGAAAAAAGGAAAAAAGTATCCTTACAATGCTACATAGAGTACCCCTAAAAAAGGAAAACCAAATAAACCACCAATGCAGCCCGAGCCACCTTCAATGATGGGCCCCTGAAAGCTACTTCTAGTTTCCAGTCAAACTTTAAGTCAACATCCACTATTTAACCATAGTTCACAATCCCCTACATATTTTTATTTTACCAGACCAACCAGAACATACTAGGTTAGAGAAATATTTAATAGCATAGCAAAATACCAAAATAACGACAACAGCAACAACGAACATTCCCTTTCCTGCCCCCTGTATACACACAGGTTATCACACTTATGCAAGAGAGAGCACATATAAGAAACACACATGATCAGTGAACATGCATGGCCAGGGCAACTCATGCTAGCTCCTAAGCCAGCATCCACTCTGTAACACCATTTTGTTTCTGATGCTACTGCTTCCCACTTGGAGGTGCCAATATCTCTGCTGGCTAGTGATGTGAGGCTGGAACTCTGCTAAACAAATTCTCTCTGCAGCACCATCACCTTCCTAAACAAATTGCTCCATACTGGGTCTCCATGTGCTGCCATCTGCAGCTCTTTGTGGCCTTCTCCTTGATAGCAGGGCCTACTCCCAGGTGCTCTCTTAATTCTCTTGATATTTAGACCCACAGTCTACCTGGTCAGTCAGCCAGCCAATCAGATAAGCCCTGGGGCACTAAGTCTTTCTTTTGAATTGCTACTTCACATTCTCACTTTTTGAATTTAGTCTCCTCTGGACTACAGTGAGAAAATTCTTCTGAACTCTTTTCACATTTTACCATGCTAACTATGGGCCATGAAAGGGAAGGACAAACCCACAGACTTTGCCCTTGCTAATATTAGAGAGAGAAGACAGAAGGGAACCATATGCATCAAGGAGGATGAGGCACAGAGCCAACAAAAGGGAGAAACAAACCTTCAGACTTTGTCCTTGCTGGTACTAGGAATATTACCACAGCAGGCTTGTGCTGAGGAAACAACCTGTATATTATCCTTTTTCTGGTACTCTGAGTCATGAATATTGTATCAGTCCCAAGGAAAAGTAGATTCCCTACTTTGAAGTGAAGGTTGCTTGATGCCCTCCAGAAATGGGAGAAGAGTTGACTCGATGGTTTCCATGTACAATTTTGGCTTTTTTGTATATTAAAAAAAAAAAATTTAGGGGCAGCTAGATGGCGCAGTGGAGAGAGCACCGGCCCTGGATTCAGGAGAACCTGAGTTCAAATGTGACCTCAGACACATAACACATACTAGCTGCGTGACCCTGGGCAAGTCACTTAACCCCATTGCCTAGCCAAAAGAAAAACAAACAAAAAAAATTTGTCCTTCATTCCTGTATTTGATGTCTTGTTAGCCCGAGTGTTTGCAAGGGAGCTAAAGACCCTTTGGGTAGAACAAAAGTTGCTAGAGGCTGACATTCCCAGAGTTTCCCTGTGTGGGGCCATAAAAAATTAGTGAGACAAAATATATCTAAAATTGCACCCAATATTCTAAAAACATTATTGGGGGGGCAACTAAAATATTGGCTAATGTGATATGTAACTTTAATGTCTCAGGTTGTAATTTCAACCAATCCTATTTTAGTTATTAGTACGAAACCAGGGGGAAGCAAGCTATATGTGGCTGTAGACTGGTATAGTAGAGCATTGAATTGAGAGCCAGAAAACTTCGGTTCAAATCTAGACTATGCTATTCACTAGGGTGAGGCACTTCTCTGGGTATTAAATTTCTTCATCTGTGAAATAAGGTTAGACTCAATGATTGCTTCTCCTTGGCTATCACTCTCTCCTATGCTCCATTTACAGAATTGTAGAATACTAGGGCTGGAAGGAACCTCAGAGATGATCAAGTCGAGCCCAGATCTCAACAGGAACCCCCGCCATGTTCTCGGCAAGTGGTCATGTAAGCCTTCCCCTGATTCCTCCAGTGACTAGGGGCTCATTACCCATGGTAATCTATTTCACGTTTCAACAGCTCTAATTGTTTTTTTTTAAATACAATTTTTATTTTAACTTCCATTGATAGGTACAGGCATTGAAAAGAATTCTTAAAATGAACATACAAGATTTAAGCCAACCCAACAGAACATAAACATACATGTGTCTATAAACATCTTCTATTTACCAACTGTTAACTCCATCTTAAAAGACACTGACTTTAGCCTTATCATACCACAACATTCCTGCTTTTATTAGTCTTGCAGACCTTCTTCCCACACACAACGCATTTGCTGGGATAGCTCTAGTTATGAGATTTTTTTTTTTACATCAAGCTGAAAATACACCTCTGTGTATGTTCCACCTATTCTTCCAAAAAGATGACAATCTTTTTTGGAAAGTAGATTTTAGAGATGGAATGGATTGGAATTGCTTAGGAATAGATCAACTGCGTATAGACCTCCCAGGCCACTGGTATTTCTAGGATCATCATAGGAAGATAGATTTATAGCTGGAAGGGACATCAGATGCCATCTAGTTCAACACCCTCATTTTATAAATGAGGAAACTGAGAAGTTTCCAGAGAAGTTAAGTCACTTGCCCAAGGTCACAAATGACAAGGCTAGGATTTGAAGCAATGTCCTCTGATTCCAAATTCAGTGCTCCTTCCACTGCATCATGCTGGTTAAAGGCGAAGTGTCTTTGGGAAATGAATTCACACTTAGCAGGATCTTTGGGAGTCAGCCTCTACTGAGGGGTAAGGGTTATCCCCTATTTGAGAGGGTGACATTGGAGGGGAGCAGAAAGAACTTGCACAGATCCCAGGGGCCCTTCCCTTACATCCCATGCAGAGAAGATGGGGTTCCTTTCATCTACGGTCTGCTTGATCTCACACTCCCGGAATCCACGAAGGCCTTCACGAAATATCTTGCACACTCGAATCATGATGATGATCTCCTTAATGAAGTGATGAAAGTGTTTCTATAAGGACCCACAGGGAATATGAGGAAAACAGTCATGTCAGCATTCAATTCATTTCAAGTCAATAGGCTTTTATTAAGCACATTTTATTTTTATTAAGCTCTTTTATTGTGTTTATTAAACTCTTTTATCAAATGATTGTGAAAAATACTTTCATTGAGTGCTAAGCACTGGGGATACAAAGACGATGAACAAATCCATTGTCATGGCTACCAAATCTCGCTAAGATGCTACACTGGGCAGGATGAAAATGTGGTTCCTTGCCTTTTGGGAACTGAATGGAACTTGCCCTCTGTTACAATGCCAGAAATACTATCTTTTGGAGTAAATTCCAATCTTTTGGATTAAACTTGGCCCTCTCTTTGCAACCCCTTTCGAAATGCAAATACCCTTGTCAGAGCTAACAAGTTAGGTCAGTAATACTATAATAAGAATGAGTTTATCACATTGCCCTTCTCACTAACAACAGAAGTCATAGAATCCCATAGCCAAAAAAGGACTCTCATCACCATGTCTCTGTTCACATCATTTCTTTCCTATGGCTGGAAGGCCCCCCCTCTCCCCTCCTTCTTCCCACTCATCCTTTCACAAGAATGCAAATCCCATCTTCTCCATGAGACTTTAAACCTGCATTCCCTTTGATAAAGACACAGAACCTCACAAAGAATTGTATTTGAACCTCTCTAATAAAGATATTACTATTTATTATATAGCTATCTCTTGCAAGGAAAGGGACCATTACAGCAAAAACCAAGTCTTATTGAAACTTTCTATTTTCTGCAGCACCCAGCACAGGACTCTTCACAGAATAGGCACTTAAATAAACAAAAGACTTCAGAGATCATCTAGTCTGCATTCAAACTCAATGCACAAATCCCCTCTATGCTATACCTGGATGTCTTTGCTCGGATACCACAAGTCATGGGGATCTCACTACTTCTCGAGATAGTCGATCCCATATTTAGACAGCTCAGACTATTAGAAAGTTCTTCTATCTATTGAATAACTTCTACCCAAACGGATCCTAGTTTTACCCTTTGGAACCATAGAAAACAAGCCTATTTCTGAATCCATGTGATAGTCCATTAGATAGATAGACAGACAGATGATAGACAGACAGATAGATAGATAGACAGACCGAAAGACAGATAGATAAATATTTAAGCATCAGTCATGTCCCTCTGGTTTTGCAAAAATTAACAACAATGGGATCCATGATCACATCAGGGTTCTTTCAGATTCTTGCCATAGTAATTTGTCTGGGTCTGGAGATCTGATTTCATTTCAAGCATCTGGGTGTCCTCTTATATGGTATTGAGAACTGAAAAGGCCCATCTAGTTTATCTAGTTAACTCCCTGATTTTATAGATGAGTTAACTAAGGCCCAGAGAAGTGATTTGACCAAGGTCACAACAGAGTTGATATTTGAAACAAGGTCCTTTGACTTCAGTTAGGCCCGGTGCTCACTCTTTCCACTACGTCATGCCCTCTACTAGACTTTAAGTATCTTCAGGGCAGGTGCCATCTGTATTTTTCACCGTAGGACCCAGATGCATACATAGTACAGCTCCCTCACGCCCAAAGCACACATATACATCACACCTAATAAGGAGCCCTTGTGGTGGACACTCACCAAACATTGACTGACTTCACAGCCTGCCTGGTGAAGTGGAAGGAGTCCTAGAGTGGGAGTCAGGACACCTGCGTTCAAATTCTGACTGGCACCAACTCAGTGTAAGACCATGACCAAGTCCTTTTTGTTCTCTGAGCCTCCAGTTCCTCAACTGTAAAACAAGAGGGTAGGATCTCTAAGGCTCCTCCAAAGATGCAGCACTGTATGATTCCCAGTCACTTTGAGCCCCAGTTTCTTCATCTACTAAGATGGGCATGATAATACCTACACAATCTACTTCCCAATATTGTTATGCAGGTCAGACTCAAGATGTTTTAAGTTAAAGTGCTCTGTAAATATAAAACTCAGCTGGACCTGGTGGACCACTCCTGGAATCCCTGCTAGGGGAGGCTGAGGCCGGTGGATCACTTGAACTCCAGAGTTCTGAGATGCGGTAGTCTAAAACCCATTAGGGTGTCCATACTAAGTTCAGCACCAAAATGGTGAGCCCCTGGGACTGGGAAGCCACCAGGCTTGCCTAGGAAGGTGCAAACTGGCCCAGGTCAAAAATGAAGCACTGATCACAGCTTCTGTCAATTAGTAGTGGAATCAGGCCAGCTTCACTGCTAGCCTGGGTGAAATAGGGACATTGAGTCTCAAAAAGCAAAACAAAACAAAACAAAAACAAAACCCTACTCTACACTTTTTAATTTGTTACTATATTTTCTCCAGGAGAGGCAGAGTGGCACAGAGGTTACAAGGACAGCTTCTCCATACAAGTTAGATGATCCAGGTAAGTCCTTTAGACTTTCAGTGCTCCCAAGCAACTCTCTAAGACTATAAGTTGCAGGAGATGAACAGAGCTGCATCGGTCAGAATTAGTTTCAACAGCAGGAGTGACAAAATCATAGGTCCAGAACCCTTCCCCCAAACAGATAAAGTTATAAATATGTATGTGGATGGGATTGACGTGGGCATTCACTTTGATCAACAATCCCCCTCACAGATGTAACCTGGAGTTCAAGCCTGGGCATTTAAAGACTTTCCTTGGGGCAGCTAGGTGGTGCAGTGGATAGAGAACTAGCCTTGGATTCAGGAAGACCTGAGTTCAAATCTGTCCTCAGGCACATAATGCTTACTAGCTATGTGACCCTAGCCAAGTCACTTAACCCCATTGCCTAGCCAAATTTTTTAAAAAATTCAAAAAAAATTAAAGACTCTTCTCATTTGTATGCAAATGCTGGGTTATATGTACATTTCTCCAGAAAATTCAGTCATTTACTCCTACAACCTAATCCCTCTGTGCTTTCTTTTCCAGAAGATTCCTGTCTAGGTACAATAACATAAATGAAAACAACACTAAAAGTCTGGCGGATGCTAACCAATCTAGATCTCAGACAATTGATAATGACACATCCCTCCTCTCAGTAGAGATCTGGATACTACAGGTACAGAAGGTAGTACCAGCAAATATTGATTAAGTACTTACTAGGTGCTAGGCATTGTACTAAGCATTGAGGATACAAGAGCAAAAACGAAACAGTCCCTGCCTTCAAGAAGCTTATGCTCTCATTGAAAAGACAATATGTACACACAGAAGTGTCTATGACATACATAGAAAATAGACACAAGGTGACCTTAGTGGGGAAGGTCCTAGCAGCTGGGAGGACTGGGAAAGGCCTCATGCAGAAGGAAGTGCTTTTGCTCAGTCTTGAAGTAAGCCAAGGATTCCAGGAGATGGAAGTGAGGAGAGAGAGCATTACTGGCATGAGGTACAAACCGGTGCAAAGGCAAGGAAATCGGAGACGGAATTCATGTTTGAAGAAGAACAAATGGGCCGGTATGACTGAACTCAGAGGGCATGGAAAGAACTCCATGTATCAGGGGATGAAGTGGTGAGGCTCAATGCCAAAGAAAGGAATTTATATTTGATCTTAGCAGTAATAAGGAGTCCTTTGGAGTTTATTGAGGAAACAGTGACCTATGTTCTAGGAAACTCCCATTGGTTGCTGGCTGAGTATGTAGAGGACAATTTGGAAAGAGGAAAGACTTGAGGCAGGGAGACCAATTAGAAGGCTTTTGCAATAGTATAGGTGAGAGGTGATGCTTTGTTGTTTGATGAATTAACTGTGTCATTTGGTTTTACTTTTTTTTTTAGGCAATTGGGGTTAAGTGACTTGCCCAGGGTCACACAGCTAGTAAGTGTCAAGTATTTGATCTGAGGCCGAATTTGAACTCGGGTCCGCCTGACTTCAGGGCCCGTGCTCCATCCACTGTGCCACCTAGCTGCCCCTTTGTTTTTTGTTTTTTGATTCATTTGGTTTTACTTAAACCAAGTTATTTTGTGTTACAGGGGGATGGGAGGTTTAAGGAGAAATAACTGTGTTGTAAAAATGAAGAGCAATAATAAAGCTTTAATTTTTTAAAAAATCCAGCTAGGTAATAATGAGAGGGGTTGTGGAAAGACAGGCACACTAACACACACTGGGGGAGCTGTATGTTGGTTCAACTGTTCTGGGAAACAATTTGTAATTACATTAAGAAAGTGACTAAAAAGTCCATACCTTTTGACTCAGAAATCCTACTGCTTAGGCATGTATCCGAAGAAGATCAATGATAAAAAAATAAAGGTCTCAAATACATAAAAATTCAGTACTTTATGTCATAGTAAAGAAATGGAAACAAAGTAGATGCCCATAAATTTTGGTGCATTACTGTATCAGGAAGAAAACAATATAAAGAATACAGAAAAGCATAAGAAGACATATGAACGAATGCAAAGTGAAGTAGAACCAGAAAAATGATATAATACAGTGATTACAATGTAAATAGAACAACAGAACAAAACTGAATTCTATAAAATCTAAAGCTTAGCCCCAAAGAAGAGAGATGGGTAGCTGCATCTTTCTCCTTTCTTTGTGGAGGTAGGGGACTGTAAGTTTCGAACATTATGTATACTATCAGTCTTGTTGACAAGTTGGCTACTTGTGTTGAACTTTTCCCGCCTTTTTTGTGAAAAAGTGTTTATTAAGAGTTTACTATGTACTAGAAACTGTGCTATTAATTCTGAGGGTAACTTTTTTTTTTGGCTTTTTGATGAGGCAATCAGGATTAAGTGACTTGCCCAGGGTCACATAGCTAGTAAGTGTCATGTGTCTGAGGTCACATCTGAACTCAGGTCCTCCTGACTCCAAGGCTGGAGCTCTATCCACTGCACCACCTGGCTGCCCCTGGTAACAATTTTTTAAAAAGAGACAGTTGCTGCCTTCAAGGAGCTTACATTTTAGTAGGGTAGGACAACTCAAATAAGGTAGTGGTGGCCTGGGAGGATTACTTTGTTGTAAACAGTTATAAGAAGAGGCTATAGGCAGATGATAAAATCAACTTGTCTTGATGATCTTAAGAATGTAAAGAGAGGAGAAGAGGAACATACTTGAGGGAGAAGAGAAAGGAATTTTAGGGGAAATGATCTCAAATACCAGAATATACAAGTAGACACCTATACAAAACAGGAGGAAGGGATGCCTAATAGGTAAACTATTGCCTACTCAATTGGCTGCCATCTGAACTGGTCAAAGTAGGGAAAAATAGACACACACATATAGAGTTGGGTACAGAAATATATTTCATTCAATAGGGAAATAGAAGAGAAAGGGAAAAGGAGGGAAAAGAGAATTAAAAAGAAGGTAGATTAAGGGAAGGATTTAGTCCTAAGCAAAAGAAATTCTAAGTAAGGATGTACAAAAATAATAACTTTTGAAGTGGCAAAGAATAGGAATTTGAGGGGGTACCCATCAATTGGAGAATGACTGAACAAGTTACATAAATGTGGTAGAATACTATTAAGCTGCAAGAAATGATGAAGAAGGGGCAGCTAGGTGGTGCAGTGGATACAGCACCAACCGTGGATTCAGGACGACCTGAGTTCAAATATGGCCTCAGCTGTGTGACCCTGGGCAAGGTCACTTAACCCCCATTGCCCAAACAAAATAGAAAAAAAGAAAAAGAAATAATGAAGAGGACATTGGTTTCAGAAAACCCTGGGAAAACTTGTGTGAATTTATGTAGATTGAAGTAAACAGAATCAGGAGAATAATTAATAAAAGACAATAAAATGATAAAGACAAAGAACTTTGAAAGAATTAGAAGCTCTGATCAGAATAAGGACCAATCACAATTCTAAAGGTCTAATGATGAAACATGCTACCCACCTCCTGACAGAAAAGTAAAGGACTCAGAAAGCAGAATGAGACATATATTTACTTTTGGATGTGGCCAATGCAGAAATTTGTTTTGCTTGGCTGTACGTGTTGGTAACAGGAATTGCGTTTTTCTTTTGTTCTCAATTAAGGGTTTGTGGTTGGGAGAGGAGAAGAAGCAAATTTTTGTTGATTGAAATATACATATATACACACATATAAATATATATATATATATAATATATATATATATAAAAGTGTATATATAAAAATATACGTGTGTGCATGTATATGTGCATATATGTATATGTATATATATCTCCAAACAGTGGAGGGGAAAAATGACTTGGATAGTCAACTAGATGGGATGTGAAACTGAGCATGGTCTATTACATAGGCTAGCCAGGTCTGTTACCCAGACTAGGAGAAGATAGTGGCTTGAGTAGGTTAGTTAGTTTGCACATACTTAAGTCATCTCTCAGCTTATTTGGGGCCTAGGGTTTGAGCTTCAAAGATGAGCGGATTAACTTCCTAAAGGACTAGGGGCCTAGATTCTGGAAACTCTGCTTCAGAAAGCTCTAGGTCTCACACTCAGGTGGGGAAGAGGTCAATGGCAAAAGGCCTTTGTTGGAATATAGGCTGAGTGCAGCACATTCTATTAGTGTGCATCCAGGCGGTTTTATTTACTTTTTAAAGATAAACTATTGACTATTCAACCATAAGGGATATTACTTTTTATTAACCAAATTAAAGAAACTAAATTTTAATTAAACTTAGTCATCATACTTATGCATAACACAATAATCCATGCTTTAAAACTATAAGAGCTTATCATACAATTAAATTGAAATGCAAAGCCATTTTTTTTTGAAACATTAGGATGTGCCTGGGTATACCTGGAAAATCTGTAGACACATCTCTGATTTGGAAATTAAAGTGATATAAAAGCAATAGATATCAATATATATTTTTT